CCATAAAAGAAAAAGTTTCATGCCTAGTCACTGCATCGAGCAACATGTCAACAACTGGCATGGGGTATTCATCCTTAGGAGTGGCTAGATTCAAATTCCTAAAATCTACACACACTCTTATCTTGCCATTCTTCTTTCTAACTGGCACTACATTAGACAACCACCTCACATACCTAGCTGTTCTTATGAACCCAGCTTTTAACAGTCGTTCAATTTCTTTCTTTATCTCTGGCAAGACCTCGTAAGCAAAGCGCCTAGGCGGCTGCTTGTAAGGCCTGAAACCAGGACTAATTGGCAATCTATGCTCTACCAACTTTCTATCTAGACCAGGCATTTCATGATAATCCCACGCAAAGCAATCTTTAAATTCTTTCAATAAGTTTATTAACTTGTACCTGTCTTGCTCAGAGAGCATGGCACTAACGAAGGTTGGGCGCGGGTCCTCTTCAGTGCCAAGATTGATTTCTTCTAGGATATCACGAGAAGTCATGTGATCCTCTTCTTCCTCAGCCATACATTGCCCCTCGCCTTCTTCGGGCGAATCCTCTTCGGGAACACAGTTAGCCACCAACACAAGCTCCTCCCAAGCTAGCCTCTGTTCGAACTGATAAATGGCCAACCTCCCCATCAAGGCCGTGACTTCGGCCTCCCTCGCCACCTTGTCTTGTTGTGGCTTACTCATCATCATCTTTTTCTTCAGCTTTAGGTGGACCATCAAGAGATATCATAGATGGTCTCACTATCTCTGAAAGTGGATCGATGCAAGCTTTGCTGAAAACCTTGGCACTTGAGAATACCACAGTACAAGACCCACCATCCATACTACTAACTTGAAGTGGCCCAAAGTCTCCATCGTATAATGGAGCTTCGGCCACGTTGGCTCCCACGACAAAAGGATGGCGTCTGCTTGTACCACTTCGACCACATCTTCTTCATTCCAGAACATCAAACTTTGATGAAGCGAAGATGGGACACACTTGTTGGTATGGATCCAGTCTCTTCCCAACAAAGCATTGTAACTTATCACCCCATCGACAACAAAGAAAGCAAACATCCTTTGTTGACTACCCACTCTCACCATAACTGGCAAAATTCCTCTTGCTGATGTTGATCCTCCATTAAAACTCGTAACAAAGATATCCGTAGGAATCAAATCACCAGTGCTCTTCCCAAGTTTCCTTAACATACGAGTTGGCATCACGTTGGCAGCAGCTCCGTTGTCAACCAAGACTTTTGACATGGGCACACCATCAAGTCTAGCCTTAATGTAAAGGGGTTTCAAATTCCTTATCATACTCGGCTCGGGCTTTTTGAACACCACCAAGTGGCTTGACTCATCACTTGCAGTTTCCTTCATAACCTGTTTCCCCTTCGAGGTGGCTACATGCATGACGGCCTCTTCTTCTAGTGTGCCTTCATCGTTTGCCAATGAACTTTCTTGCTCCTCCTCAAACCCCGATCCCCATGTAGGGTTCTCAATAGTCGATGATGATGTTGCTTCAGGTCCCTGGTACAATACGTAGAATGGGTACCGACCATCATCTTCTCCTAGCAAACCAACGTTCCTATGGCCTGCCTTGTGGAGTTCCCTCAAAATTCGTTGAGAACTCTTGCCTTGCCTTGCCATCTCGACGGCTAGATCTATCCTACTTCCCAAACAAGCCATCCTCACACTCCATGGCTCAACACTAGCTTCGAGACGGGCGAATGCCTCAGTCAACTCAGCAACCGCTCCATCTTCGTCATTTGCTTTTTCCACGTCTTCGCTCTCTATATCCCCTTCACGATCTTTTTCGTTGAATTGGAACACCATGGGCAGTATGTAGTTAGTAACAACCACCAGTGGCAAGCTTCCGAATTGGATGGTCGTAGCAGTCCCTTGGCCGTCCTCCTCATCATCTTTGTTACCCCTATTGAACTTGGAGTTGGGAAGATCATGTTCAAGCATATCATCTCCAGCATACTCATCTTCATATTCGCCCTCTTCTCCTTTGACGTTGTCATCGACCCCTTCTCGAGCTTTGACATCACTCTGAACTTGGACCTGCTTGCCTTTGTCTATCACGCCCACTTTGAACCCTGTGGTCATGGAGTTGACCAGCTTGAGATTTGGTTGGAAACTACCTTCTCTCCTCCATTGTGTCACACCCAGTATGTTTCCACGAGCCATTGGTAATTGGCCTTGACGTGCTTGTGCATTCTTGCGAAGGAACCTTCTTCTTTGGGTCCTTGTCATCTCAGCCACTGCTACGGGTTGTTGACGACGAGAATCATACGTATTCCATCCACCATGTGGAACATCTGGCATCTTGAATGTTCTCCTCTTTTAGAAAGGAGCATGGGCCACCCATTGTCTCGGTTGCCCCCAAGCTGGTTGCTTCACTCCTTCCACCTGTCTCTCGTATGGCGGGTACCTCGGCCTTGGCTTGTTGGGAAAACCAATTCTTTGATGAATCGATGGCCTCGGCTTCTCTTCGTCAAGTTTGAGACTCTTCTTGCACCGAGCACACAACTTGTCAACTTCATCAGTCAACATTGCGGCCGGGCTGGCCTGTTTGGTACCCGACGAGCTCCCTTGCTTGAAAACCACATTGGGACTCCTTCGAGGCGGCATTGTATCCAACACCAGCTTAAAATGTGGCAATTCGACTTTGGAGAAGTCTGGGTTGACCATGTTAACACCAAGCACCTTGGGGAACGTATCATTGTCCACCAACATGGCATCCTTCTTCGCCTCACGGAACTTGATGCGTCCCTTATCAATGGCATCCTGCAAGACATTACGGAACACCACATAAGAATCAGTGGATGTGACATGCTATTATGCCACTTACAATACTTTTTCCCTTTTAATTTCTCGGGTGAGGGAAAGACATGCCCCCCCGTCAACTTGACTTGACCATCCTTATAGAGTTAGTCAAAAATCAAGTCTGCCTTGGAGACGTCAAAGGAGTACTTCCTCGGCTGAATGGGAGCACGATTGGGTCTCCCCCCTTGTGGTCCCTCTTCAACTTTAGACAAAGAAGCACATATGTATGGCTTCCCTAGAGTTATCTCAGCCAAGTCTACCTCAACCTCATTGGCCTTGTGGCCAATATGATTGATGGCATAGTCTAAGTTTGGTATGTATGATCCCCTTGATGCACTCCTACGATTCTCTTCCTCATGTAGAAGAGACTTATACCTCACAGCACAAGACATGAGTTGAAATAAATCAGAGAACTCCCTATCTTGAAATTTCTTCCTTAGTTCAAAACTCAAACCCTCTTGTGCCAGCTTGACGAACTCCCTCTCCGTCAAATTAACAAAGCATTGGTTACGGGCATTCTTGAAGTTAGTCAATAAATGCTCAACTGATTCCCCTGACTGTTGGCGCATATGTGCCAAGTCAGCCATGGACACCTCGGGCTCAGATCTGTAAAACTAAGCGTGGAAGACTTGTTCCATCTGTTGCCAAGTCTAGATGGAGTTAGACGACAAGTTGACGTACCAAGCAAAAGCTGGTCCTGTCAACGAGTTTCCAAATAGTCTTAACTTAACAAAATCTCCCACATCGCCACATTGGACGGTGAAACGCCCAACGTGCTCTACAGTGGACTGATCTCTAGTCCATGTGAATGTGGCAAACTCGGGAACTCTGAATCCCCTTGGAAACGAGTAAAGTCTATCTACCCATTCTGGGTACGGCTTACGGTATACAGGTCGCATAGCGGGTCTTACTCCCATGCCAAACTACTCCGTGAAGAGTTGCGCCACCTGATCTCTAAGAGTGTTGGCCTCATGCCCCCTTGTTGCCCCCCCCCCCCTACGGTACAAACCCAATGGGGTCCATGCCATGCCCATTGAAATGGGGTGGCGTTGGAGTTGGGTAGCCTCAAGGTGGGATTTGATCCATGTTACCACCTAGGCCTCCTCCTCCTCCTCCCAAATTCACGGGAGCCACGTAGGGTCTTGCCTCCGGGATAGAGGGACGAGCACCCACTTGCACGGGTTGCTGCTCAACTCGAGTGTTAAACATGGTGGCGAGCTTCTCACCACGCGGGGGTACCACTTCAACTCCCACACGTGCCTGTGACGATTCCCCCACTTGAGTAGTAGCAGGAATCTCAACATCACCTACTCGACGTAGAGGTGGTTGGCTTGCTGTTTGAGGCGGCAAGTTCTCTTGCCGTGGTTGGCCATTCCGACCAGCGGCGGGAGAAAGAACACTATTAGTAGGCGTTAGGCCTGTGCCATCTAATGGAAAAGCTCTTGACTGGACTACTGGTCTACCTAGAGACTGTCGGAGTTGATCCACCTCATTTGCATTTTTGTTGACTACTTCAAGCAATTAACTGAAACGTCTATCTAGGCGAGAATTGAGACAGTCTGTATGAGAATTTACCTGATGAGTATTTGCCCGAGTTTCTTCCAACATGCGGCGGTTCTCCATCAGCATTTGGCGGTTCTCCTCCGTGGCTTGATGGGTGTCAGCCACCATCTTGCGGTTCTCCTCCATCATCTGACGAAGGGCCCCCACGGCTTCGCCAAGTTCTCCACCAGGCACAGTCGCCACCAAGGTCTCTGCTCCACCATTTCTTCCGACAACCGCGTCAGATGCTTGGCCATGCTCGATGTTGGCCACCTGCTCCTCCATGAATCCAGCCGGAACGTCACCTTCCAGATTCCTCCGCCTCAGAGCCATCGAATCGACCACAAGTGACCCACCAGGTGTGCCAAATTGTTTTCCGGCGAGGAAAAACTGGTGTTTGAACTCAATAAATGCACCTTTGACTTATTGAACAACGACAATAACACGATTTACACCTCTTCGAACAATGTTCAAACGAGGGTGTTTGATGATTTTGATGGCTCATAAAACTAAGTTACGTTACTCATACTCTATGGAGGTTCAGTGAGAGCTCTAGAAAATATAGGCTACGACTATGTCTATATTGCAGAGAAAAAGATAGAGTTTGACATGTGTTGTCAAATGTTTGGTTGTGGAACCCTTGCTTCGTTTTCTTTTCTCCTATTTATAGTCATCCCTTGTAACTGCCGTGTAACCGCCTCTTGGTAACCGCTGCTCCACTGCTTGGTGCTTGATGTAGCTTGCTTAACGCCTTGACTGTCCTGCGTGCTTGCCACTTGATGACTTCACTTGATAGTTAAACCCTTGTGCCATGGAGTTGTCTTGTTTGGTGAGTGAAGGCTTCACGCTTGGTGGTACTCGTGCTAACCACCTTGACATGACGTCATGTTCGACACCAGGGTGCTTGGGGTTTGGTGGACGCATACGGATACCCTTGGGGTGGCATCATGCTTGCAGGGTCTTGACAAGGTGGTCTACCATGTGATGATATACATGGCTGAAATAACTACCCATGAGATGCCTGCTACTCGTGATGATGTCCTTGCACGTTGACCCCATTGCGGTGTCATGCATGACCCCCCTGGGATGATGTCACGCTTGACCCCCCTTGTGGTTGGGTATCATGGTACCTGGTGCTTGACCCCCTTGGACGATATCAGACATAACCCCACTTGGACGGTATCATGCATGACCCCCCTTGTGGTTGGATCTCCATACTTAGCCAATTTTCACCTTCTTTTGTCGCATCATGTCTAGGGGTACTCGTGATAGCTCTCATTGCATGGCATCATGCTTGACACTCTAGCGCGAGATAGGTAGATATCATAGTGCTTGACCCCACTTGCATGACATCATTCTTGACCACCCTGGGACGATGTCATGCTTGACCCCCCGGGGATGATGTCATGCTTGACCCCCCTTGTGCTATGGGTCTCAACACTTAGCCAATTTTTTCCTTCTTCCCCATCATGTATAGGGGTAATTGTGATGGCCCTCCTTGCACAACATCATGCTTGATATCCTAGCGCAAGGTAGGTAGGTGCTTGACCCCCCTTGGACGGTATCATGCATGACCCCCCTTGGGTGATGTCATGCTTGAACCCCTTGGACGGTGTCATGCATGACCCCCCTTGCATGATGTCATGCTTGACCCCCCTTGTGTTGTGGGTCTCAACGCTTAGCCAAATTTTGGCTCTCTTTGCCACCACGACAAAAGGGGTACTCGCGATGACCCCCTTGTGGTTGGGTCTCCACGACTTGGGTGGTTGATGTTGACGGGTGTCAACGCTTGGCACTTGACCCCCCTTGCGTGATAGGTGGGTGTGTGGTGGGTCAAGTGGTGTGTGTTGAGGTACCTGGTATAAAGCCCAAAATACTATCATTTAGGCCCGGTTTAAACCAATTTAATTAACATGGTTAAGTTGGCCTTATAACTCACTACCACTCCTTGAAAATACTCAATGTGGTATTGAGTAATTTATTTAGTGGTAAACACAGGGGAAGGGCGATCTTTGAAAAAATCCTTGATGAACTGCCTTTAGAACCCTGCATGGCCTAAAAAACTCTGGATCCCCTTAACAGATGTAGGAGGCGGCAGCTTGCTGACAGTCTCAATCTTTGCTTTGTCCACCTCAATTCCCATCTTGGAGATCTTATGCCCCAGAACTATGCCCTCACGAACCATGAAGTGGCACTTCTCCCAACTCATTGCTAGGTTCGTTTCTTCACACCGTTTAAGGACGAGTTCCAGGTTATGGAGACAGTGAGAGAATGAGTCTCCATAAACCAAGAAATCGTCCATAAACACCGCCATAATCTCCCCGACCATACGGTCAAAGATGGCGAGCATGCAATTGTAGGAAGGAGAATTTGTCGATGCAATTGTAGGAAGGAGAATTTATCTGTTCGATTTCTGGGCCTGTTCAATTTTTGGGTTTTTGGGAAAAATAACCATATTTGGGATTCTGGTAACAGGGGCGAAGCTCCAGGACACTGAGCGCACCTTCGATTGCAGATTTTTTATACTCCCCTGAGGAGTTTTGTGATATACATGCTATCTGGCCAAGTATTGCAAATGCCCAAGAATTAGAAAAATCAAAAAATGAATTCACATAATGAAACCCCCAAATTCAAAGCTTCATATGAAAAACAGGATGGCAAACACTAACCTGCAACTCCCGTAATACTCAAGAAAAAATTGAATTCACATAATGAAACACCCAAATTCAAAGCTTCATACGAAAATAGTGGTCGACAAACACTAATTAGAAAAAGAAAAAAATGAATTCACATAATGAAACCCCCAAATTCAAAGCTTCGTATGCTTCAATTGCAGATTTTTTATGCTCCCTCTGAGGAGTTTTGTGATATGCATGCTATCTGGAAAAGCATTGCAAATACCCAAGAATTAGAAAAAGCAAAAAATGAATTCACATAATGAAACCCCTAAATTCAAAGCTTCATATGAAAAACAGGATGGCAACCACTAACCTGCAACTCCCGTAATACTCAAGAAAAAATCGAATTCTCATAATGAAACCCCCAAATTCAAAGCTTCCTACGAAAATAGTGGTTGACAAACACTAATTAGAAAAATCGAAAAATGAATTCACATAATGAAACCCTCAAATTCAAAGCTTCGTATGAAAAACAGGATGGCAAACACTAACCCGCAACTCCCATAATACTCGCGTGGCTAGTTTTGGATGGGGGCGTCGGCCTTGTTGCGGCTCCATGCTGCTGGTTGAGGTGAGATTGCATGGATTCTTCAAGACTGAAAGCAACCATCTATTTGAGTTGTCACTCCCCGCCTTCAGCCATGATAAAAGAAAAAAAAAATCAAAGATTAATAGGTGTGAAGACGATGGAAGCAAAACACTAACCACGCGATGAAACTTTTTTACTCCGCTCGCCGCCCGCCCTAGCACAACCCGCAACTCTAGTCATCCACTACGTCTACTCCTTTGCATCTCTTCCTTCCCACAAGAAATCAAACTCACAAAACCTATAACGTAGAGAGATAAGGCGGCCTAATATGAATTGAGAAGATGTCAAAACTACGATCTTCGGATGAGGATGGAGGCAAAATTGTGAGAAGTAGGCATGATTTGGGTAAGGAGAGAGGAGATTGGGGGAAATCCTCGTCTGCTCAAGTAGGAGGAAGAGGATGGGGGTAATTGAAGTGTTCCTGGTTCTAATGAGATAACGAGCATGTGTATTCTGAAAGAAAGAATGAAATGAATTTGGATGTAAGTTTTAAAGTAATAATAATTGTATTTTTCATAAGAGATTGGGTGTTATAAATGATTAGAGGATATGATGTATCATAATTGTTTAATTGAAACTTAGATGATCCATTCCAGCAGAAGGACAGTAAAAAATCATGTAGGACTACATAGGTAGTAAAAAATAAATTAATAGGTGTAGTTGCAATTAGAATTATTATTAACTATTAATTTTCTTATAATTAATTAATGTGTGAATATAGCAAAAAATGGCGGTATGTCGTACACCAGCTTCTCTGCCATGCAATCCATCTCAACGGCCGAGATAATTAGCGGGGTCAGTTTTTTGGGATAATAAATACAATTATAGTACCAGTCCTCCACAACCAAAAAACGTTACATTCTAATCCACTTCCGTTAGACGGTTGGCCAAGACGTATGAACGAAAGTCATGTTTTGGCTAGACGACCCAACCCTTTTCTCACACTCTTGTAGTGCCATCCCTTCCTCCGTCCATCTCTCTCTCTCTCTCTCTCTCTCTCTCTCTCTCTCTCTCTCTATATATATATATATATATATATATATATATCTCCCATCTCTCGCTGCCTCCTACATTCCGACAAACGATTTCACTTCAATTGATTCTGATTCCGGTCAAGAACTTTGTAATCAAAACCCCCGTTCTCCGTTGAATTCGATCCTAGCAATTGTGATGCACAAAGTTTTCTTCTGTCCCTCCATTCACTCAATCATTCCCCATCTACGACCAGATCACATGGCCCAAATAGAGAGCCATGGTACACTAGGTGCCTCTCTCTATTACACGATTGCATAAAGCATACCACAAGTTTAGAAACACATGCCATAAGTTTGTTAAAGCACACCACAAGTTTAACCACATGTTATAAAAGCACGACACAATTCTATTGTATTACCCCTTTATCTATTTAGATTTTCGTTCTTGTTGCAGGTAGGTGTATTCCGTTCTGGGATCGTTTCGGTCGGAGGAAGAAGTTGAAGAAAAGGGGATTTCAATCAAATTGTGGGTGGATAATCTGTTGTCTTGTCCTTTAATTTATTTAGTATTCACATGAAGCTTCTAGGTGAAGGTCAATCTATGGCTTGCTGATCAGAGATATTTAGGGTTTGTTTCTGCCGAAGGAAGAAGACGGCGAAGATAGAAATTCATTCGAACTGTGGATAGTCATCATAAATCGCGTTTGTGAATCAATCAAACGATTGGGCTTAGAGTAATGCAATAATTTGGGATCCAATTTGTGATTTTTTTATGGGCTCAATGGGATAAGCAATAGGTGAAAGTAATAATTGTTATTTAAACGATTTTGGATCATTTCAGCTGGTGTCGAAAACTTAATAGACATTGTGGAGGAAGATGGACGAATGCTTGGATTATTTTTAATTGGTGATGAATTCGTTTAAATTTATCTACTTGTACAAGGGGGGCCTTTTAATTACACGCTACGTGAAGCTAATTAGCGATGTCAATCCTTGTGAAGGTATACAAGGGGGTATTTTTAGTACGTGCAACTTTATGTTTGCGTTCCACATCATACAACCAAACAACCTCTACCTTATTTTTATTATTGACCACATCCTAGCCTTGTAAGGCCAATGCCTCATTAAGTGAAGGCGTTATGACTAATATAATTAATTTACGTAACTTAATGAAGTATTTTACGAATGGAATAGGAGCCACAACAATGAAATAGAAATTGGAATTTGCCATGTCATAATGAAATAAAGAAATGACAACCATTGTGGATGCTCATTTCTAAATAAGCAATCCCTTCTTGTTGTATATCCCAAACCCTTAACATGAATCTATTTCACAAAATAGGGTGTCTCACATAAGAATACTTAAATGTGGTAATTTTTATACAATTGCATGCGTCATTGTAGGAGAGGTTTTGAAGTTATTTCCCTTATCATAAAACTTAACGTAACGGAAAAGCCCAACAAATATATTCAATTAGGCTTGGAAATTAATTTTATGTGCAACGACAGCCATGTAAAGCTCGCTTGTTAAAAAAACCCGAATTAAGGGATATTGAGCGAAACTCTTAGATGAGGGTTACAGAGCTGATGTGGATGATGCGATTATAAGAAAGGCGATTATATTTTATATTTTATAGATAACTATAATTTCCAAATTAAGCATTGACGGGATATAGAGCAGGTGTTATGAGAATTCGGCCCCTCGCTTTATAGCTATCTTCTAGATTCAAAACCTAATAATTTGGGCAGTCCTTTGCATTGGGTAAGAAAATTGTGGCGTGGTTGCTTTAATTATTGGTTTAGAGGAGCACCACTATTAAGAAATAGAAAATTCGCAGCTTACATAAGAAAGAACTGGACAAGCAGCACACCGAGTACTGGTTCCACAATAATTTTTGTGGCCAAAATTGATTGTTAACATTGATGATCATAGCTTACATAGTGAGTTCAATCTCGTGAACCAAACCCAAAACCCCACCATTACACAGGTCATGTCACATCATACCGTCATGGTTGTGCCAAGTACCGCCTTAGGGCTTGGACAGTTAAAAGCAACCTACTGTACTTGCGCTAGGGAAGATCAATAACATGTAGGTGTCAATGTAGCACAATAATTTCAACAAATGAAGTGTAGTTCTATAACATTTGTTATGGAAACGTTAACTACATTTGGTGAAGTGTTGTGCTATATTTTGACGTCCTACAAATTGCGACTTCCAATTGTACCTCCAGCGCAGCTCAATCCAGAACAGACAAGACAATAAAGAGAGGGGAGTGTTAAACGAATTTTGGGCCAACATTGATTTTTAACTTTGATGATTAGGTTAGGGTTTAAGGCTATTACCTCCATTTGTGGTGGACCCACTAGCAAAAGAAAAAGAATAATCTGGCAGGAAGTCATAATGGGTCAGGGCAACGAAAGGATAGTGATTATCCTCTAGCGGTAATCTCCACCTACTCAGGGTTTGCTTGTTTCTTATTTTCGTTTCTGGGTTTCAGTCACACGAAGAACGGGGGAGAGAATAAAGTAAATGGGAGGAGGAAGCCGGAGGTAATGGAGGAGAGAATAACATAGATGGGAGGAGGAAGTCGGAGGGTTGGCTTAGATGTATATGTTTAGGGTTAGAGCCACTTGTTTATATAGTTGAGCTCGTAAGCCTTTGCCCTCACCACTTGTTTATTATAGAACACAATGGATGATGAAGTTACAATTATCATGATGTTGTTTATGAGCAATATCTTCGTGACATTGCGAAGATTGAAATATATCATTAGGTCAAGATGAGTATGGAAGTGCCAAGATTGGTCGACTCCTACAATGTATCTCTTGACTTTATGTTTCACTTCATTGTCTCTCGTGTCATTGTATGAATTGATTTCTAGGTCGGTTGGAAATGTAATCTCACATTCAATTGTTGTTTTTAATAGTTAGGGGTCGTTTGGAGGTTGTGATTCGATTTTATTGATGAATTATATCAATTTGTGCAGTCAAAATTGATGGTTTACTTGACTGTGCGTATTTTGAAATTCACTTGGTTGGAGGTGTAGATTATACTTTTCACATGGTTTTACCATGTTTGGTTTTCTGAACAATTAGGCTAAATTACTGGCTTTGCAGGAAGAAATAACTCTCTTTAATTCTCATGTATACTATTTGGGCCACAGAAGATTATCCATGGGACAATACTAAAAGAAGAAGAAAAAAAGAGTGAATTAACTAGTGCTTTCACCCCACTGCCGTTATAAGCCAACAAG